CCTGACTGAGGTGAACTGGAGGAATGATTAATTGTCCTATAAAAGGTCATGACTGTAACACTGTCTTTGAAGTGATGCATCAGTAATAGGAGGACAGTGGCACTCGTGCAAATGTTGCTTTACTGTGACGTTTGAACATTGCATCACTGCCCAGGCAGGTCAGCCGTAGTCTCAGGAGTCCGTCAGGTGCCTGGGCAAGCTCCCTGCTGGCTTCCAGCTGGCAGCACTGCATCTGGCGTAGGGGCTCCCTGGTGTTCTGCCCACAGCTGTGCTGACAGCAGAGTGTGTTGGGCACAAGCTATGCAAATACTCATGTTGCCTGGGTGACGAGTAGAAAGTGAATTTGGTCTTTGGGCTGCTTTGCAGCAGCATAGCCCTGACATCTGAAAAGAATACAGCAGTGCATGGTGGAGCCACATAAAATTCCAGCTGAGATGCTGTGAGTACAGTCCTTAATCTCAATGTGGACAGAGACCAGATCTCCTGAGATCTCCACTCATCACACAGGGTTCCCTATCCTCCCACCTGTCACATTTGCCTGTCACTTAAAATACTTTCTAGATTGATGAATAGGTTATGAATGGGCAGAGAGATGGTGGTCTTCCTTCAGGGCCACTCTGTCCCTTACCTACCGTGTCATCTCTCATCACGACAGCACTCAGCTCTGTCCCGCAGTTGCCAGACGGCCCCTGGAGAAGCCAGTACTGCTCCAACGAACACTGCACCCTCACCTGCCTGAACTGGAGCGGCTCTCTGTCAGCAGCCTTTGTCCTCCCAGTCCAGAATTCCGTCTCCTGTGATGTCACCACTTAACAATATGCTGATTTTTTAAAAAGTTTAGGGTGTCTTGGGCATTGTGTTTAAACTTGGTAAGAAAGGAGTTTTTGAGCAAGTTAAAAAATTTCTCTGAGTCTCAAAGTTCTTTAGGTATACCTTGCTTTTAGGTTTGTCTCTTTAAATTTAGTATGGAGCTCCTTTTGATACGCCAATGGACACAGTGTCGTGTTCCCTTGCCACCTTGGCTGTCAGGAAACTGCAGCTCTGTTGCCGCAAATCTCAGCCCTGGATCCCAAGATAAGTGCCTCTTCTTGATGTCATTTCTGCCTCTCCAGTGTTTATTGCAGTGTGTGTTTGTGGTGAGCCCCTTGGAGTGATGCCGAGTGCACATGTGTGTTGTGCTCAGCCACTGGCCCTGCCTTTGGAGCATGAATTGGTGGGCTTGTTTTCCGTGCTGTGCTCCGGTCGGAGCTGAGTTGTTGGGATCACTTGGTTTTCAACTCCCACGTCAGGCTCAGCCTCAGCTGCCACACTGGCTTAGGGTCGTCGTGAAGACTGAAAGGTGTGTGGCAACTTGTTTAGTGGTGGCAGTGGGTAACTCTTCTTGTCCCCAAGCTAGGACACACAGTCTGGAGGCCTGATGTGTCCTGAGCAGCTTTTTGGAGGCCAGCTTGTCTCTCTGCAGGAGAGCGAGGCTGCACTGGGCACAGCAGTGGCAAGCGGTCCACTTCACCAGTTCCCGCACACCTGCTTCCCTGGGCTGGGGGAGAAGGCATGTTTTGCTATGATTAATTTGGCATTAAAGTGTAATTACACTCCCTAGTACTTGATTAACTAATACAAATACAAGTTACCCCAGTGTAACTTGGGGCATATAAGTTGAAGATGGTTCTCCGTGGTGGCTGATGCTCTTGCATCCTCAGAGCTCTGGGCTGCTGTGTGCAAGCCGCTTTGGGCTATGGAACACCTGACCTCCCGCCCTGCAGTAGGGCAGGGCTGTCTTCCTCCCTGGCTGCCTGTGCCCAGCTGCTGCTGAGTAACACAGGCGCTGCCCATCAGACCTAGTGGGTGCAGGCACATGCTTCAGATTTGGAGCCCAGGCCTCACCCTTCCCGTGCAGGCAGGCCTGGGGCTGCGGGAGCCTTCACCCCTGCAAGGAGAAGTGTGGACTGTCAGAGATGGCTTCCTGGAGGGAGACACAGGGCTGGATGTTGAAGGAGTCATCTTGCAGATATGTGGGCTGGTCATCGCCAGTTTTCCTAGAGAATACAGTTCCTGATCTCGACCATGGAGATAAAATCCCCAGCAGGGAGGGGCCCTGCAGTTCCAGGTACCTGTGACTGAGCGGGTGGAAGCTACAGAAGGAACTGGAATACACAAATTGTTTATGTTAACAGCTCATCTAGTTCTTTTAACTAGTTATTGTAGTATATCTTCCTGAAGTGGCTTTTGGGCTTTTTTTTTTTAATCCTCATCAGAGGATTTTTTTATTGATGATAGAAAGAGTAGGAGGAGGAAAGAGGGAGAAACGTCTCTAGGGATCACCTCAACCAGGGATCAAAACTGAAGCCTTTTGGTGCCTGGGATGACGCTCCAACCAGCTGACCCACCCGCCCAGGGCACGAACGTGTTTTTATGATTTAGACCAGGGGTGTCAGACTCATTTTCACTAGGGACAACATTGGCCTCGCAGTTGCCTTCAAAGGGCCAAATGTAATTTTAGGACTGTGTACATGTAACTGTTCCTTAACTAGGGGCAAGGAGCTCAGCGTGGCCACCAGGTAGAAACAAGGTGCTGGGCTGGATAAAACAAGGTGGAGGGCCTGTGGGCCTTGTGTTTGCCACCTGTGACTTAGACTAAAACCATGTTACATGACTCTGACTTCAGAGGTGCTGTTTTTCACTGAGCACAAAGGACTGGGAAGGAGAGGGTGTGGGTGTGAGCTCGGGCTGTTGTACCGAAGGACCACATGTGGGCCCTAAACAACAGAAGTGTGATTTTTCACAGTCCTAGAGGCCAGAAGTGTATGAGCTCGTGTTGGTGAGGCCACATGGTCCGCATGGCACTGGTGGCTGGACGTCCTCACACGGCCCTGGCTCTTGTGCCACCTGCCCTGTGTCAGTGTTGTCAGGCCCCAGTGTGCTTGAGCTGGTGTACGGTGCAGCTGTTGGAGGGCAGCAAGCCTGCAGAAGCAGGATGCCCTTCCAGCTGTTTCTGAGGTAGGGGACATACCCTTGGAGCCAGCAGCAGCTGGCCCCTGGAATCAGTGCTAATGGCTTTCTCCATTGAATATTATCCAAAAGCATTTGTTTGCTGGCTTGAAAACAAGTGCCGTGTTGTCACGCATGTTGTTCTGGAGGGCAGGCACGCTGGCACCCTTGCTGACTGACACCGCAGCGGCCTCTCATCTGCTGGGAATTGGGTAGTTGTTCAGGTGTTCCTTTTGCCACAGATCCCTGCATCGGTCCCTTCCAGCATGTCTTTGAATCCCCTTCTTGTCCCTTACGTTTTAATCCTCATCGGGGATAAAAAGCAGAACTCTAAACACTTGGGCAGACCTTGCTCGTGATGTGACGTTTTCTTCTCGACCGTCACAGCCACCGTCTTCCCCTGCTGTCCTCAAAGAGGGGGTTGGAACGTGTCTCCTCTCAGACACTGCCAGTTCTGGAATATAAAATCAGCTAGGCAAGCAGTTGGGGTCAGTCCCCGATGTGGTTAGGCCCCTGGTTGGTGTCACTCTTACCCATTCTGTGGTTCTGCTGAGGCTGCATTGACACCTGGTTGACATGAGATTTCCCATCTCGCAGGGATTGCTGAGCCCAGCACTGCACACCCTTTCTTCATTTTAGTAAGTCGTGGTTTTATTTTGAATAAGCCTCTTTCAACCTATTAATATTAATCTAAACTAAAATTAACCTTCCCCTAAATTCTTCTCACATAGAAGAAGCCAAGTAATTTTGAAAGTTAAATCAAAACAAAGCAATCTGGTGTGCGACACAGATAAAATCACAGACTGTGGTTACGGAGTGCTCTACAGGGATCGCTGACGGAGCGCTGATTTCCTCCAGTCTGCTCTGGAAGGAGAAAGGAAGTGCCTTGGCCTTATCACAGTCCTGTTCCGTGGGACCAGTGCTCAAGGGCTTGTGGAAACAGTCTCGAGACCCTGTCCTCAGCCCGGCTCATGGCCGGTAGGGCTGTAACTGGTGGATCCGATCCGGCTGGTAAGCCTTAGGAGCCTCACCAGGCGGATCAGAGCACTGGTCTCAGATGCAGGTTCCCGTTCAGGAACTGAGGAGGGTGGCCTGCAGAGCTGAACAGGGGCACGGTTGAATTTACCTGCAAAGTGGATTAGAACTCGGAGTGGGCCCTGAGGCCTCTGGGACCTGTCAGTAACCTGGCAACTTCCATCTGCACAGTTTCTCAGCTTGTTATAAACATGGGGAGTCACTGGTAAGGAGGCCTTTTTATTTTTCATTTGCTGCTCCCCACAGAGGGGTGCCAGAGTTGGGGGGACTCGCTGGTGTCTGTGATGTGGGCACAGTGCTGGGCTGCAGTGTTAATCTGGTGGAACCACCTGCAAACAGCCAGGGTGCAGTGGCGCATCAGGGCACCACTTTATATAGCTTCATGGAGCACATTACCCTGAATCACTGGTTTCTCAAGTGAATTACAGCCACCAGAAATTCACTCTTGGGGGAGTCTGAAACATACCCCGAGTGTCAGTAACTTTGGCTGTATGCTACTCCACATCTATCAAGTACATTCTCTCCTCTCTCCCCCATACCTTCTTACCTCTTCACGGGACACCAGCTCCAGTGGCCCTGGTGGCCTTTCTCTAGCATGGAGGTGAGGTGCTGCCTTCCCAGCAACCACTGCATTCCTGACCAAGGCAGGTCTGGTCAGTGATGGCATTGCTCGTGATGAGAGCATGTGGTTTGTAGAGGGGCTCACGGAGATGCCAAGATTGATTCTCTCTGACTTCTCCAAACATTCTTTTGGTTGCTTTATTTTTCTTTAAAGAAGATCATTTCATATGACTGTTCTTTATGAAGTGAAATATTTTTCTGCAGGGGAGGTGGGGGGCCCTCCTTTGGCCGTCACAGGGAGAATGGGGCTTCAGTGGCACTGTGCACATTAAGGACTGCCTTCCATAGCTTTTGAGATGGGGTTGGTTGTTCTATGAGGGCTGAGAAAATAAGAAGCTTTTCTCTTGTTGTTTCAGGTCTTTTTGAATAATTACCAAGCAGCAGAAGCCCATCCTCAAATGGTTATCTTACGGCTGCTGCGGTACATCCTCCGTCTGGTGTGGAGGATGCAGTGACGACGGGTTCCACGCGGAGCGGAGCCGAGACGCACGCAGACATTCCACTCGTTCAAGCCGACAAGCCCAGCGCCATGGCCTCCTGGTGCCGCTGCTGCGCGGCCAGCTGTTGTTCCCCGGGGGGGCCGGTGTGTCGTACACGCGGAGCTGCGTGCGGGCTTGACCTTGCCGTGAATGTAAATGAAGATGGATTCTCTTTTTTAGAAAATGTACAAATCATGGTTCTCTGGAGCAGGATTTTATGCGAGAATGATGTAAGAACAGTTTTTCAAAAAGGAAATGGAAATTTTTAACCAAGTCATGAATGATTTTTGTACTAACAATTTAAGAACCTGTTGCCTATTCTCAGAGGATTATGTAAACTCTGCAGTGGAAACTGAGCCAGCTAATTTCTAAAGCTGCCTTAGTTTATTTTTAGAGGCTACTGTACAGAATTTTTAAACATGAGAGGTGTGTGTGATATGGCCACTCCCTCCCTGCCATTGCCTCTCACCTTTTTTTAACTGTTATTACCAAAAAAATTCTTAGAAAATGAAAATGATTAAGGGGCAGAGAGTCTTTTGTCAGCCTGTACTCACGTGGGATGTGCCTCTCCCATTTTGTAAATATTTACTTACCTCCTTAAACTCAGCTCATCTGGAAAATTTCAGCCTCTTTTTGCGTGTTTTTCCTTATCTCATTTTGTGATGCTCCTCTCGTCTGTCTTGGTCACTGATGCACCTGTCTGGTCCAGTGCATGTTCATGATAAAGTGTAACTGCTCACAACGTGACTTAGCATCTGCCTGTGTCATCACAGCTCAGTCGGTCTGGTGGTAGCTCACTACCTGGGAAGGGACGCGGTGCCGGTTTTCATGTGGTTAGGTGGACTTGTGTGTTACAAGTGTTCTCAAGAGGTCATAGTGGTAATAATGCAGAAACAGTATTAGGGCCCTTGGCACTGTTGGCTTTTCTGGTCACAGGCTTTCCCCTCATCACAGGAGGTTAATCTCAGCATGAAGTGCCAGTTGCAGACATGCCCACCTGTAGCTGCATTTGGCTGCAGGTGTCCAAAGTGGAGTCCTTGTGGGAGTTGGCACGGGCTGTGGACGGGGCCTTAAACAGCTGTTTCCTGGGCATATACCGGCTTTTCATCCAGCTCAGAGTTGATCTGACCTTTGATGCCTACCACTTGGTTCCCACTCTTCTACATCCACCTTAAAACACAGACTTAATTCTCTTTTGAGCAGTGTCATCAGAATTCTCTCAGGCATAAGTCTGAAATGGCCCCTTCTGGCAGATGTCTACTCATTCATTTCTCTTGGGACAGCTGGGGTTGTGAGGCCTCCTTCTGTGCATACACTTCTTCCTGCACGCTGGCCTGTGAGGATTACAGTGAGTTGGGACCCACGAGCTGGTCAGTCATTTGACAGGCAGTTAACCAACCTAACCAACCGGGGAGAAAGCAGGGAAGGGAGGGAAGGGGGAGGGAGGGAGGGAATAAAAGGAGTCAGGGAGGGGAGGAAGGAAGGTGCAGATCATTCTGTGAACCCTGTGACTCCTACAGTTTTTAAAACCTCAGATCATGAAACAGCTTTTTAAAAAAAGATAAATGATTTTTCAAATGAGTCAGCAGTGCCAACAACCAATGTGTTTGCTTTTGGCCCATTGAGAACCAGTATTTCATATTATTGAGTGAAGAAATTCATTCATGTGTATCTTCGTAGTTTTATATAAATATATATATGTATATATATGTGTGTATATATATTTTTTGCATATACATTTCTTCCTTTAGGTAGAGATATTTGATCCCAAATATCCTTACTTTTTAAAAAAAATTTCCCCCAAATACCTTCTTGGGGTCTTGAATATTTTAAAAACTGTGTTGAGTCTCAGCTTGTGTTCTGGAACACTCTCGCTGGGTCCTGAAGGCCACACGGTTGTGAGGTTGTGGTAGGGCTGTGGCCCTGGGCCTGCCGGAAGTACACACCAAAGACACATTTGGTTCTGGGCCCATCCCCTCCCAGGACCTCTGTACTCATGTGCTCATGTGCCAGTCTCTGACTGGAGCACTTTAACCGTTTCTGGGAGTGCAGGATGAAGCCCGGTGCCGAGGGTTTGCTGCTGGCCCCAGCTGACTTCTGGCTTGGCAGTGGGCCGTGGACGCAGCTTGTGAGGAAGTACGATTCTGTGACTTGCAGTAAGTAGTTACGAACAGGACGTTGCACCAGGACTTGAGAGATGATTGGATGTCTCTGTACTGTATGTATCTGTTTATTAAGATGCCTCCTGCAGAAAGTATACCTACTGTGGTATGCCTTTTTCTTTTTGTTTTTGATTTCTTTCATTTCTTTGTAGAAAAAATAACTAGCTCCCTTTTTTAAAACTTATGAAATGCGGGTTTTGTGCCTTGACCACCTCTTCTCATATGAGGTTTGTAGAAAGTGTCCTGTGATTATCACAGAAATGCAATAAACTCACCCAAAATAATTTCATGAGTGATTCTTCAAGTTACCTGTACTCCTGCCTATATATCAGTTTATGAAGAAATTTTTTTTTTGATTGTGGAGAAACCAAGTGAAAATTCCTTCTGATTTTAAAAAAATGTACACAGTCAAACCTTCTCCTGTTTCCTCTTCTTAATATTGTACATATTTCAACTATTTATTAGATTAGGAAATCATATTTTACTTATCAACTGAGCCAAATGTCTGTGTGCAATTGTGTTTCCTTTACCTTTCTTGTAAATTTTTGTACAGCATAAATTAGCAAAAAAAAAAATCACTGTTTTTACTAAACTTTTTCGGAATTAAGGATTGTAAATATTGTAGATTCTTTTTCTGTGTAATGTGTCCTACTGGTCCATAGTGCTGTAACTTGTAGAAATATTGTCTATTTATTTCCTTGCTTATTTAATGTCTTAAGTTCTGGAAAGTGTTGACCTCCCTGACGTACCCCACCGCCCGTTCATTGCATTAACTCTGCGGTGGTGGCTGGTCAGCTCACTTCAGGCCACGCGGTCTTCCCAGGGTGGCCCTCCAGCTTTGGCTCCTGGTATTTCTGGTCAAATGAGTTTAAATTCTTGAGGTTTGCCCTCCTTTGATGAAGCTCATGTTTAGACACCAATGAAAAACCATAAATCTGGCATGCTACAAAATTCTCCAAGAAACACCCAGTGACTGTCCGTTTGCTCCAAAACAGCTAGCTTCTCGTGGAAGCAAAATCTATTAACTCCAAGCGTGGTCTTTAAAAAAAAAGTGTTATTGGCAGTTGGGACAGATTTTTTTCATTGAAAATTTATACCTGGCAGCTCAGCATTCAGAGGGCAGGGGGCAGGTGGGAGGGGTGGTTCTGCTTCCAGAGTGACTTCAGGACCCCTCATGCCATTAACCCCGTGTTGACGGCTGGTGAGCTGCATTTCCCCACTGCTGTGTGGCTTCCTATGCTTTGAGGTATGGACTCAATTGTGTTCAGGAGCTAATTGTACAGGCCCCCCAGCTCTGAACCATTTGGTCCCTCATTTGATTGGTCTGATTCTTCAGGTTGATGTTTTTCTGCTTCAAGAGAGGTTGGGGACCCCACTGGGGTGGGTGGTAAGATAAGGAAGTTTTAGAGAGACTTTCTCATGGTTCGGTGTAGTTGGTTTGTCATCCCTGCTGATTTAGCCTGGTGCCTGTGTGTGTTTACTTCACACACACATGTGTGCAGGGGTGTGTTCACACATGATGCTAAACCAGCTGGGGTAGCTTCTCTTCTACTCCAACAGCGTGGCTTGCAAGAAGCATCTTCAACCTCCCAGCAAAGTAACTTGACTACTTGTATTGGGCAGTTCCAGACTTTAGAAGCTCTTCCAAGCTCTATGTCCAGGCCCCGTGACCACGAGTTACTGGACCCAGACTCATCAGGTACTCCTGTATAAAGAGCACTGATCTGTGTGTGTACTGATTCATCACTAACTAATGTGTTCTTAGGACCCAGCGTATGTAGCGTTTGTATTGCAATTTCCCTGGCTTACTTGTGTTTTGCACTGATGAATTTTGACAGGGTAATTGCCACTTTATTGTGCAATACTGCTGTAAATAACTGCAGATTTTTTTAAAGAAACTTAATCTTTTATGTTCTTAATGAATTTTATATAAATAAAACTTGCAACTGGTTTTTGGTGAGCTGTTTGATTTGTTTCACAAGATGGTGGTGGAACAGCTGAAATTATGTGTGAATATGTACATGCCCACACTTACCCTTTTCTAGTCACATAGTGTATCTGTCACCTGGGTGTAGGTTTTGCAAGTTCTTGCACTTCAGAGGTTTGAAGTGGCGGGCAGGACCATGCAGCATGCCTACTCACGTGTCTAGGTGGGACTCAGTGCCTGGTATAGGGGGTATCGGGCCAGCTCTGAACTGTGTTGGTTAATGATGACAGCAGAGACCCTGCCATCTCACCTGGCTCACAGCTGGAAGAAAACCCAAAAGGTGGGAAGTCTGCTTGAGGTCCAGGGGAAAGATCTTGTCTGCAACATCCGCTTAGACCCTGGGAACTGCCAACAAGGGCCCACCAAAGGGTCAGGCCTGTGCTGCGCACTGGATGTGGGCTAGGGTAGGGATGCAGAAGTTCAAGGCTGATTTGGAAGTATAAGTTATAAAATCCTAAATGAGTAAGTGCATAACTTTCCATTTTTACTCACTGGACTATGTGCTGGAAAGGTTAGAGACCATGGCTGAGGTTGATTTTAAAGCAGGGCATGAATCCAGCCTTGTTGTTATATATGTGTGTGTGCATATCTGCACCTTCATTATTTCCATCAAGTTGTTCTGGCTCCCAACTACTTTCATTCCAAGGCAGGAGAGGGAATTTTTCCAGATTTTGCAGTGTGTGTGGGTGTGTGTGTGTGTGTTTTATAGAGGTTTCGGTCATACTTAGCTGGGTTTTTCATTTTCCCTATTGATAGCTAGCTCTTCATATATTCTGAGTAAAAATCTCTTACATGTTAGAAATATTTCTCCTTCAGTCTATTGCTCATCATTTTTCTTCAACATCTTAGGAAGATTTGCAAATACACAGAAAGTTAAAGGAGCTTTACGGAGAGGACCACACACCCATCATTGCCTAGACTACCACCTTCATTTCGGTAAACACACCTTATCACGTACCAGCCCGCCCATCCGTGCATCCGACTGGGATGCGTCTCAAAGTGAATTGTAGCCGTCAGCACCCTTTCTCTCAATACTTCACGTGTATGTAATTTAGAGTGAGTTTTTCATTAATTTTTTTCATTTTTGAGGTAAAATTACATAAAATAAAGCATACAAATCTTAAGTGTTCATTTGCTAACTTTTTACCAAGGATATAGCTGTCACCCAAAGCCTGGTTATCATCATTCCAGAAAGTTCCTCATGCTTCTTTCCCCCATCCCCAGAGGCAATTTCCATTCTGATATCTTTCTGCCATAAATTAGATTTTATGAATGCTTTGGGAACATGCAATATATGGTCTTTGTGTCTGGTTTCTTGTTCAACATCAGGATTTTGAGAACCACATTACAGTTCTCAGTAATTACCTTTTTATTACTGAGCAGTGTTCTGCGGTGTGGACAGACCACACTGCATTGTCTTGTGAATGAGCACCTGAACTTGCTGCACTTGGGGGCTAGGATGAGGAAAGCTGCATGTGAGTGTCTTCACGTGCCCTCTTGTGAACATGCATTTGTCTCTGTTCTGTTCCGCTGTGAATCTCCTCACTGCCACTGTTCGTGCGATGTGGCTGTCGCCAGTTCAGCAGTCAGTTTTGTCTAAAATGTCCATATTTTGTATTTTAAGTGCCCTCTCCTATGCCAAAGTTTTAAATATATTTTATTTACATTACCCTCTAGTTTTTAATCTGTAATCCACCTGCAGTTTTTGCAGTGACATGCAGTGTGTCTGACTTTGCTTTCTTTCCCCCACACAGCTGAGTCTTTTCTCTGCCACCCAAAATATTTTGATGCACACCAAATTCTCGTATATGTGGTGCTGTTTCTCAGTCAGTCTTTTTGTTGAATATCTATTATTCTAATCACTATGGGTTTATGCTACGTTTTTAACTTGTCCTTATTTTTCAAGGTAGTTGTGATGATTCTACATTTTGTCTCATGAAATTTTTTTTTATCCTTACCTGAGGACATTTTTTTTTTTCATTGCTTTTAGAGAGAGGAAGAGGGCGGGGAGAGGGCGAGAGAGAGAAACATTGATCAGTTGCCTTCTCGATTGTACCCAACCAGGGAGGGATTGAGCCCGCAACCTGGGTATGTGCCCTGACTGGGAATTGAACCCTGACCCTTCTGGTGAATGGGATGACACTCTAACCAACTGAGACACACTGGCCAGGGCATTTCATGTGAATTTTTGAATCAAGTTTCTTGAAAATCTTTTTGGGGGTCTTGTTTGGGATGACTATGACTATAAATTTAGGAAAGGCATTGCCAT